GATGTCTGGTAACTGTTTACTAAACAGATTTTTTGTTTGTTTTAATTTCCAAAAATTCCCACAAGGGAACATTCAACACAGAAGTTAAATGCATTTGAGGAACAAAATAATGGTGAGTATTCAAAATCGATGTCAGAAGGTTAGGATGCATTTTGTATTGTTTTCAAAAAAGAATGAGGAAGAATTCATGTGCTAAGGTCTTGTGAAAACAAACAAACCAAATTCACTGCCACTGAGTCAACGCCAATGCACAGCGACTCTACAGGACAGGGTAAAAGTGCCCTGTGGGTTTCCAAGACTGTAACTATTTATAGGAGTAGAAAAACCCATTTTTTTCTGAAAGAGCTGCTTGTGGTTTCGAACACCTGACCTTGTAGTCCGCAGCCCCACAGAACCACTCCAGCACCAGAGCCTCAGTCTTGTAAGCAAACTTACGAGAAAAAAAGAAAACATAATAATAAATAAATGTGAATCTGATGATTTGAGCTTAACGAGGAAGAAAATGCAATTTAAAAAATAGGCCTTCTCTGTTCCCTGCCGACCTGCTAATTTTCTTTTTCATGGAGAGGAGGGGTCCTTTTATGTTATTTTATAATAAAAGTTAAGGACTTTCTTAAACACATCTCCCATTTAACTGAATTGAAGAACCTTTTCAAAGAGGCTCAAAGCCGAGTTTTACCTCTCATGATGACATCAAGGAGATTTTAAAACAAACGCACGCATATGCATACACACACAAAGGAAAATATGTAACACTTAAATCCCTAACCATCCATCAGTCATGGAGCAGTTGAATAACTCTTTATACATCCTCACTATGGGATACCACGCAGCAGCAGGAGTAAGATAAATTTATGAACTTCCTAACCTGAGTTGCTTCTAGGTGAGCACCATAGTATACATTTGTGTTAATATGAGCAGTTAGAGTGGTAGGTTGGAGATAGCTTGCATTGGCTCATGAGAACTTATAATTAAATTTTCAGAAATTTGGCAAACTGTCAATTTTAAGTTGATGTCTTACAATCAGCCTTAAATGGGCACATTATAAATCAGAGGGATTTTGGTTTTGCTTTTGTTTTTCTGGAAAGAGTCGATTTACCTGTACAACACCATTGAAAGTATAAAGATGTAATTTGTATGATCTATCAACTATCTGGAATGGTATGTACCAACTATGAATTGTTGAATAATGCAATATAAAAATGAAGGGGAAAAATCAGTTACCTCACAAAATGTGAATGCTGTAAGTCAAACTCACTTACAGGTACAAGAGATAGGGTATCTTCTGATGTTGTTGGGTACCTTCAAATCGGTCTGACTCAAGGTGACCCAAAGTACAACAGAATGAAACACCGCCCAGACCTGCACCATCCCCACGATGATCATGTTTGAACACATTGTTGCAGCCACTCTGTCAGTCCATCTCGATGAGAGTCTTCCTCTTTTTCACTGCCCTTCTACTTTCCCAAACAATTCCTTTTCCAAATCTGGTCTCTCCTGATAACATGTCCAAACTACCTGAAATGAAGTCTCACTATCATCACTTATAAAGAACATCCTGGCTGCACTTCTTCCAAGACAGATTGGTTTGTTCTCTTGGCAGTCCATGGTCCCTTTAATGTTCTTCATCTGAATACCATAATACACATGAACAGATTATTCTCCAGTCTTCCATATTAAATGGTCCATTTTCACGTGCATCGGGAGCAAATGAAAGTACTATGGCTTGGGTCAGGCACACTTTAGTCTTCAAAGTGGCATCCTTACTTTAAAGCAGTCTTTTGCAGCAGATTACCCAATGGAACGCACTGTTTGGTTTCTTGACTGTTGCTTCCATGAGCATTGACTGTGGATATTCCGTCAGTTCCGTTAATGCTTTCAGTGCAGCATGGACTTCCTTCTTCAGCATCAATGCTTCTTGGTCCTACGCGGCCTCTTAACATGGGTGAATGTGGATCAGTACTTTCTGGTACAAAGGCATTATTTGTTCCTTCTGGCTTTTGATGCTCCTTCCTGCATCGTTCAGTATCTCCCCACAGAACCTTTGATACTGCAGTTCAGGGCTTGGCTTTTTTCTTCAGTTCTTTCAACTTGAGAGACGCTAAGCGTGCTCTTCCCATTGGGTTTTCTAACTCCACATTTCCTGGTAATAATTTATTTTGTCGTCTTGAGCTGCCATTCGAAAATTTCTATTCTATATAAAAGTTCTTTTACTTCATAATTTCTTCCATTTTCTTTAGGTACTTGAATTCTGATGCTTGTATTAATTTTTTGAGAAAGGTTAAAGCAAAATTTAATCTGCATGGTATTTAAAGGGTTAAATATATATTTGGTAAACTTAAGTCTATATAAGTTGTGTTTAATACTAGAGCTTCTCAGAGCTACATTCTAGGGCTAAAGGCATACTTTACAGGTTTAAAGCTTCTACAAATATTTATAATATTGATAATGGGAGAAAAGTTACTATCTTTAAAATATGAACATCTTTATTAATTTATCGCTCTGTGGATAGAAGAATACTTCTTTGAGACATATTCCTAGTTTCAGAATTTCAGTACTAAAAAATAGGAGATTTTTTTTTTTTTACTCATTTTATTGGGGGCTCGTACAACTCTTATCACAATCCACACATACATCCATTGTGTCAAGCACCGTTGTACATTGTTTCCCTCATCATTCTCAAAACATTTGCCTTCTACTTGAGCCCTTGGTATCAGCTCCTCATTTTCCCCCTCCCTTCCCGCTCTCCTCTCCCCCATGAACCCTTGATAATTTATAAATTATTATTATTTTGTCATATCTTACACCATCTGACTTCTCCTTTCACCCACTTCTCTGCTGTCCATCCCCCAGGGAGGAGATTATATGTAGATCCTTGTAATCGGTTCCCTCTTTCTCCCTCACCTTCCCTCCCTCCTCCCGGGATATTTTTAAAAAATAGACACTGTCAAAATACCATCCAAACACCTGAATCAACTTTACCCCACCATTTCTTACACCTCCATTCTACTCCCAACGGCTACACTGAGGAATCTTACCAGATTGACTGTCTGATGAGGAAACTTTGAGGGGAAAAAGGATCTCTTATTTTCAAGTGACAGTTCTCTGACTAATAGTAAGTGTAGTTTGTAAGAAACATCCTTGGCTATTTGCACTTTATCTTCTGTGAAATACTTGTTCATAGTCTGTGTTCAATTTTTAATTAGATGTGGCAATTATTTTATCTATTACATATGCCATTAATATTTAGCTTACCCATTTGTTGCTGGTCTTTTAAATAAATGATGTTCTTTTATATGAGTTCTCATTTTTTCTATATTCTGATCTTTCAGCCTTTTTCTTTATGCTTCTAGATGTTGTATCATGCCCAGAAGATCCTTTACTGCCCTATGGGTTGTTGTTTGTTTTTTTAAATCCTAGTTTTATGTAGCTTTTATACATGTTTCTGTGTACGTCACTTAGAAATTCAATTCACTGGAAGTTATTTCAGTGAATTTGTAAAGCAGGAAACCAATTGAACTGGGACCATTATAAATTTTATCCCCTGATTTTTCTCTGGATGACCCAAATGGTTTGCACTTGAATGCTCATCTGAAAGTTAGTAGTTCAAACCCACTCAGTGGTATCATGGAAGAAAGGCCTGGTGATCTCCTTCAATAAATATTACAGCCAAGAAAACCCTCTGGAGCAATTCTGCACTGTAATACATGAGGCTGACAGGAGTTTGAATCAACTTGACAGCAATTGGTTCTGATTACCACTCATAATAATTCTTCTTTTTTTCCTTACATCTGATAAAGCAAGCACCACCTTCATTACTTTAACTTATTTATTTATTGCCCAATGCAATATGCTATTTAATTTTTTAAATTAATCATTTTACTGAGGGGCTCTTACCAATCCATCATTCAATAGTATTAAGCACACTTTTACATATATTGCCATCAACATTTCCAAAATAATTTATTTCTACTTGAGCCTTTGATATCAGTTCCTCTTTTTCTCCCTCTCTCTCCCTCTCTCTCCCACCCTCGTAATCCCTTGATAATTTATGAATTATTTTTATTTTCATATTTTATACCATCAGCTGTCTTATGCTTTTATTTTTAAATAAAATTCATAGATGTCCTCTCATATTCTTTAGTTGAGCTCTGGAATATTTTCATTAAGTTTCAATGAGAAAAGGTATCACGGAGATAAAAATCAGCACTAATCTTACTGTATCTGAATGTAGAACCTTCTTCTTTTCAATCTTCTGGGAAAACCACAAAGTGCTCTTCATGAGTCTATGTTCTAGTCAAACATAATAGGCTTCATTGCTACTGGGAATAAAATCATCCTCCCATAGTATTTTCTACAAGGGCAGACTTTTCCTGAATATTACTATTTTATTGAGGAAAACATCCAGAGTGGTTGCAATTCATTTGTTATGTATCCAAACTGAGACTTCCAGATGATATTTAATAAGGTGTAGTGGTTACACCTTGGGCTAAAATCCACATGGTCAGCTGTTCAAAACCACCAGCAGCTCCTTCAGAGAAAGTCTGGGCTTTCTAGTCCCGTAAACAGTTACAGGCTCAGAAACCCACAGGGGAGTTTCTATGCGTCAATACTGACTTGATGGCAGCGAGTTTGGGGAGTTTGAGTCTACACAGTTGAGTCTACGGTACAGCACCTGAGAAAATGTGGTCATTTCTGTTGTAAAATAATCACTTATCAATATAGCTACCTAAGGTCTAATTTAGTAATAGAAATCCTTCTAAAATTATCTGCAATGTTGGATGCTGAAATAATACTAACAAAATAGGCACCGAGTTTAATGCCTTTGAAATGTAGTCTCTAAATCTTAAACGTAAGTCTTTAAATCTCTCACTGTGAGTGAACCTACTTTATGGCACTAAAACTATTTTCAAATAGCAATGAAAAGTGCTTCAGTGTAGCACAAGAAGAGCCTAACCACAGGTATGATAAAATCGTGTTTCTGTGTCGTTTCATTTTAGCAACCTTTGCCTGTGACGGTGTGCTTGCCAACATGGCACCCAAAAAGAAGACAGTCAAAAAGACCAAAGGCGACATTAATGAGATGACCATCATCGTGGAAGACAGTCCCCTAGCCAAACTAAATGCTTTGAACGGGCTCCTGGAAGGAGGCAATGGCCTTAGCTGCATTTCTTCTGAGCTAACAGATGCTTCCTATGGCCCCAACCTCCTGGAAGGTCTAAGTAAAATGCGGCAGGAGAGCTTCCTTTGCGACTTAGTCATTGGCACCAAAACCAAATCCTTTGATGTGCACAAGTCGGTGATGGCTTCCTGCAGTGAGTACTTTTACAACATCCTGAAAAAAGACCCATCCACTCAAAGGGTGGACCTCAACGACATCGCCCCGCTGGGCCTGGCCACCGTCATTGCCTATGCCTACACGGGGAAGTTGACTCTCTCCCTGTATACGATAGGAAGCATCATTTCCGCTGCCGTTTATCTTCAGATCCACACGCTTGTAAAGATGTGCAGTGATTTTCTGATACAGGAGATGAGTGTTGAGAACTGCATGTACGTTGCTAACATTGCTGAAACGTACTCCCTGAAGAACGCAAAAGCCGCCGCCCAAAGATTTATCCGGGATAACTTCCTTGAATTTGCAGAATCAGAGCAGTTTATGAAACTTACCTTCGAGCAAATTAACGAACTCCTCATAGATGATGATTTACAGTTGCCTTCTGAAATAGTAGCATTCCAAATTGCTATGAGATGGCTAGAATTTGACCCAAAGAGAGTGAAATACGCTGCAGATCTTCTGAGCAATATTCGCTTTGGTACCATCTCTGCTCAGGACCTGGTCAGTTATGTTCAGTCTGTACCAAGAATGATGCAAGACGCAGATTGTCACAAACTTCTAGTAGATGCTATGAACTACCACTTACTTCCTTATCATCAAAACACACTGCAGTCTAGACGCACAAGAATCCGAGGGGGCTGCCGAGTCCTGGTCACCGTTGGGGGACGACCAGGCCTGACTGAGAAGTCTCTCAGCCGTGACATCTTGTACAGAGACCCTGAAAATGGATGGAGCAAGCTGACAGAACTGCCAGCCAAGAGTTTTAATCAGTGTGTGGCTGTGATGGATGGGTTTCTTTATGTGGCTGGTGGTGAAGACCAGAATGATGCAAGAAATCAAGCGAAGCATGCGGTCAACAACTTCTGCAGGTACTGCATCTTTTATTCGGAAATGAAATGGTTCGATATTATGGGGAAGTTGCCCTGACATAAAAGCGCATTAATCATGACTCTTACTTCAATGCATGGGCTCAATGAACCAAAAATAATAATTAATAATAATAATGCCACCTTGCATGTGTATAGAACTTTATAAAGCAAGTTCACCTGCACCCTCAATTTCTGCGGTAGTCTGTGAGGCTTGCAGGAAAGCTATGGTTATTATAATTTTACATATGCAAGACATGCTACTCCAAGAAGTCCCACTAATTTATCTTTCCTCACTTCTAGCCAGGTGCTTTCACAATGCACTGCCTTTCTGAAACTGCGAGTGAATCTAGTTTTTAATATTAAGTGGGAAGAAAGATTTTTTTTTAACACCAAATTTCTTGGAAGGGGTTGCTACTGAGAGGCCTGTCAGATTCATAATTGGCAAGAGTTGATGAGATCATTAAGAGTATTACCACAGATTCACATGATGGTTTGTTTGAAAATGGAACTGTAGAGAAAATGGCAATACAGTTGATGCACAGAAAAAGAATATAAGCATAACAACCCCCCAATAGCGTGGAACTCAGATACCATAATTATCTTGGATTTATGACACAAAATTAAATTTCCATGTAAATGAAAAATTGAGAAAATTCTGCTTATATCATGGGAGTAGCTCAAATTCAACCCAACTGCTGAGCAAAAGCTGGGAACTTACATAGTATATTATGAGAAAGGTGATTTCATTTTTTCTGTGCTTATCATTTTTTAAAATTTAAATTTAAGGGTTAATACGGACAAAGATGAGCTGCAAACTGAAGGAATGAGCTGTGTGTTTCCAATACACCTAAACCAGGAAAACATCGGTTTAATTTTCCTCCTACTGATAACTCCTGTATTGGTAGTCAAGTCGGTGCGCTTTTGCAGTATTGATTTCAGTGTTCACGGTACAATCGTCGCACTGAAAAACATACATTCCTTAACTAAAGCGTTTTACCTACCAACACATCTTGGGAAATAGAGACGCCACGCAGAGTTGGGCCTTTGTTCGGTGCTTTTGAACATGAGTTCCGCTGCTTCGTTTTAAACAGAAGAAAGCAGACGCGGTTGAGCGGCTTCGCTTTTACTTGTTGCAATGGTCAGGTCAAGAAAGCGTTCCGGAGACAGGCGATCAGTCGATTCCTATCGTAATGAAGCAGTAAGATCAGCTAGGGACAGTTAGGGTCTATCTTTAGTGTGGGGCGTTTCTTTTTTTTGATTGCTTTTTTTTGATAGCTCCCACACACATAGCTCATAAATCCTACTGGAATGATGGCTATTTGAATATGCAAGGAGAAACAGGCAGGCCAGGTGTGGTGGGCTCCTTTCCAACTGGCCAGGCAGAGGGGGTGGTCTTACAGAGAGTGGGTGAGGCATGGCACCAGTGCCTTGGCAAGCGCCAAAGCCATACCTTTTTACGGCCTCTTAAGAGCCAGGGGACCAGCTCCCAGGTGAGGAGCTGGGCTGGAGGTCTTTCCAAAGACAGGGAAAAGAAAGAGGCCCACCTCCTCACCGCGTGCGGACTGACGCGAGTTCCCTGCCCTTTCCAGGTACGACCCCCGCTTCAACACCTGGATACACCTGGCCAGCATGAGCCAGAAACGCACCCACTTCAGCCTGAGCGTCTTCAACGGGCTGCTCTACGCCGCGGGCGGCCGCAACGCCGAGGGCAGCCTGTCGTCGCTGGAGTGCTACGTGCCCTCCAGCAACCAGTGGCAGCCCAAGGCGCCCCTGGAGGTGGCCCGCTGCTGCCACGCCAGCGCCGTGGCCGACGGCTGCGTGCTGGTGACCGGCGGCTACATCGGCAACGCGTACTCGCGCTCCGTCTGCGCCTACGACCCGGCCGCCGACGCGTGGCAGGAGCGGCCCGCCCTGAGCACGCCCCGCGGCTGGCACTGCGCCGTCACGCTGGGCGACAGGGTGTACGTGGTGGGCGGCAGCCAGCTGGGGCCGCGCGGGGAGCGCGTGGACGTGCTCACGGTGGAGGCGTACAGCGCGGCGGCCGGCCGCTGGAGCTACGCGGCGCCGCTGCCCGTGGGCGTGAGCACCGCGGGCGCGTCGGCGCTGCACGGCCGCGCCTACCTGGTGGGCGGCTGGAACGAGGGCGACAAGAAGTACAAGAAGTGCATCCAGTGCTTCCACCCCGAGCTCAACGAGTGGACGGAGGAGGAGGAGCTGCCCGAGGCCACGGTGGGCGTGTCCTGCTGTACCCTGGCCATGCCCAACCACGTGACCCGGGAATCCCGGGCCAGCTCGGTGTCCTCCGTGCCCGTCAGTATCTGAACCCAGGTAGATGGAGGGCGGGGGACCGCGCAGGAAGCGCTGGTATTTATTGGTAGAGCCACGTGGGTAACCACTGAGGTAGCGAAAAGGAAATATGTAACATTTACTACAGTGATTTTATTTGAAAATATGCGGGGGTTGGGGGGGGCATGTGTCTTGATGGTTGTAAATTGCTGGTATGGCATAATCTACCTCGAAGTCTTTTATGTCCTTTTTTTTGTTGTTGAGCAAGCTACAGGGCCATAGCCAACACAGGAGAGACACAATTTTAGCGGCCACTGGGTGGCGGACGGAATTCGATGTGGGCACTCTTCCAAGGTGGCCAGTTCCCTAAACGTATCGCAGTCACAGCCCCATCAAAGATGTTTTGCTTCCGTTGAAGATTTTCTTTTTATATAATCGTACTCCTGGACTTTTACATGAGGAAACTATTTCACGTGCAGTTTATCTTCCTCGCTTTTCTTCCTTAAGAAGTTGAGGATACTCATTTTTAGATTTTATTTCTTTAAACCTCAGAGCCCATCCACGTTCATAAAAACTCGAGAAAACGTAATTCTCTCTTTCAACCAAGGCTTTCAACCCGTTGGAATTGGGTAAGTCATGGCCAACTACGGAAACCTGGGACAGACCCAAATGGTTAAAATCTAGGGGATCTGGAAGAGGAAATTTTACAGGCTGAAGCCCTAGACTGGAAGACTCGGTGCGCGAGTCCACTGCGTGACAGTGGATGGCTGCCTGTACCGCAGAGAGAGGCACACACTGAAAGGGGGTTCTGCTGGGCCTGGCTGGCTGTCTTCTTTGAGCCTGGCACAGTTGTCTTCAATTCAGCCACTCAAGAAATTTGGTTGCTATGCAACAGGCACAGTTGCCCTTGTTTTCTAAGGGGCAGATGAGGTCTAACTATCGACCTGTAATTTCTTCCATTCTCATTAACATCCTGATTCACCTACATGGGGGAGGGGGGGAGGGGAAAGACCCATTCCACTGTGGTTTTATTGGCTATTACTGAATCAGGTTGCATCAATTAGAAGCCTTGATTTCAGTGCCATTCCCCCACCCACTCCAATACATGACTGAGTGAAGAATTTTTAGAGGCGTCTAATGGCAAACCTATAGAGCTTAAAATCTTACTGGAAAAGAACAGTGACTCAACCCAGGGACCATCAAGTTGGTAGTTTGACTTAACAACAATTCCCATCTCTTAAATGGCTATGGGGCTGCTACCTGCAAGGTCAACAGTGCAAAACCACCAGCCAGCCTGAGGGAGAAAGAGGAGGCTTTCTACTCCCTTAAAAATGACAGCCTCGGAAACCCACAGGGGCAGTTCTCCCTGTCTTCTAGTGTCTCGGTGGGTCAGAAGGGACTTGGTGGCAGTGAGTCTAGCTGAGTCTTTTTCCGCCATGTGCTAGACCTTGGTGTATTTTCCATCATAAAACCCTGTTCTCAGAGTCAGAACTGCTGCCATTTGACTTACTTATAGTAAGACAAGTAAATTTAAATCATGTGGTTGTTTCTCTTCGAAGTATTTGCACTTTAACCCTGGGCTCCTGTTAATGGAATTCTGAGATTGGTGGGAGCCTTGCTCTCACCGTAAAAACCACATCAATTGGGTCCAAGGCAACGTTGACCCTCACACAAAACTATGTCCTTAGGCTACTCATTTCGAGCATATTTGAACTTTCACAACCAGTGACAATAATTTGATTTCCCCCACTCTTTTATGTGACTGAGCACGTAGGAAGCATTCAGAATTCTTGGATTTGGCATTAACTGGGTGAACGGGTTCTCTGACTGGAAAAGGTCATTGTTTTCCACTTGATACCAATCATCCTGTTTTCTTAATTAAACATATAGAATATCCATTGACATAAAATTTTAAAGTAAGGCATACCCGTTCTGTTATATTCTTATTCATCCTTTCTGCCTCAAATTAGTCTTCTGATGGGCCTAAACAGCTAAGCACTTGGTTACTCGGCAAAAGGCTAGCTGTTCAAACCCACACAGAGGCACCTCAGAAGGTCTGTGATCTGCTTCTGAAAACCCACCGCCTTCCCAGCCCTACGGAGCAGTTAGTTCTCCTCTGCACCCACGCGCTCATCAGGGCTCAGAGTGCACTCAATGCCAACTAATGACAACAGCCCCAAACTGGCTTTGAAAACTAAAGTGTATTCGATTGATACCCTTATCTCTATCTCTGTTTTAACTTTCGCCACATTTGAGGGGTGGGGAATGATTGTAGTAAATGATACATATTTCCTTTCGTATATTTATCACTTATTCTTTGATAGTTTATTTTGTAGAGCAAGTGGCCTCTCAGTATGGGTCATATGCAATTGTGTTTCAAAAGAAACCCCCCCAAAACTAAGGAATGAAATGTGAGCTACATCGAAATATAACTGGGTTTTCATTCATTCTATCCCTTCCTTCATGTGTAGATAGGTAGGTTCTTGCTAAAGTGATGGTATTTATATCTAAAGTATTTATTAGAACTGTGAAAAGTGGTTCATAGAGTACACTTGTGGAACAATTTTATGTCTGCCGCTTAGGAAAAGCTCAGCCTCTCGTATTTGATAGTAACGCACCGTTTGTGCAGGCTATAGACATTGTAAGTTAAGAACTGAGATTACTAGTGCAAAGATAGGGAGCTGTTTCCACAGGCTACATGGAACATAAAGGAGCTTCCCCTAACAGCACCTTGGAACAGCGATAACGAAGTTCACGCTAGGTGGGGGTGGCCATGGCTCATAAGCAAGCAGATAGCCACTAGTCGATATGTCTCTGCAGTGAGAACCTAGAAGTCTTCTGTGACAAGGGAGACCTACAATTTGGAATGAAATCTGAATCACTCCATTGTCACATTTTCTCATGAAAAGTGACGGAGAGACACCGGCACAAGAGGATTCGCCTTCTCTCAGAGCTTCATATGATGATAGATAGGCTGGGGGAAAACTTGGCACAGTGGCTTGCTAGAGATGAAACTTGAGACCTGTGAGAGCTGGGTCAATCGTTTGAAATGGCCACTTAGCAGATTTTCTAGATTATGTACACAAAGACTCAGAAAAGCCACATAACTGAGCTTGCCAGTTTCCTGAATCCGTTGCTATTCTGTCTCCTGCTCCAATAGTTAAGTCAATAAATGAAGACGATTCTGAGTTTGCAATGCAGAGACTTCTGACATAACCAGGGGTAGGGAGCAGGGAACATCAGGGTTTGTGAAAAGCTTTGTATCCTGGGGGATCCACATTACTAATCAGAAGGCACGAGCATCTATTTTTTAAAAAGAAGAATCCAAATGACCCGTGTCCGTTTTCAGGCAGTACGTGAAACATACTCTTTAACCCGACTATATTGGAGCAGCTTGCTCAGAAAACTGCTGGAGCTTTATTCACGTTTCCCAGTGGGCATTTTACTTCGTTTTCATGATTTCAGAAGGATGTATTTAATTTTACTCCCAAGTCCCCAGAGCCAACCTTGCACATCCTTGTATGATTCTGGTGAAAACGGGCTTGTTACATTTGTCATGGCAGAGTCATGTGATTCAATGAAAGCATGGCTTCGAGGTGTCCAAGGACCAGCATGCTGCCCAGCAGCTGAAACAAGAAACCTCCAGGCTCTTTCTCTGAAAGGCCAGCGGCCTGAGGAGAAAACCTCCAGGAAGCTGGAATGGAACCTCGTCTTTGCATTTTCCGGCAGGTTCTGGGTGCCAGGCAGTCACCCCCTGATGTACCCATTGCTTTTCTGTAAACAGGTACGTTGAATGTGTCTTCCGTTTTACTCAAGTCAGGAGTGGTGACAAAGTAAGATCGTGCTAAATAATGAGCAGTGGTGGCATGTCCTGGGTGAGGAGGTGTAAGGAAGGGACAATGTGCTGGATGACTTGCTGATTGAAGGCAGAGCAGCAATTACAGCAAGAGTATTTTATAAGCATGCCTGTACATTGAGGTTTACTTGCAAATAATCACATATTTTAAAAGTCAAGTTTTTGCTTGTTATCCTGACCAAGTGTCTTCAGAATGCATCCAAGTTACTAGATAGGAGAAACTAGAATCATTTCCTGTTGTCAAACTGGGTGAGTGCATGTAATCTGTGTCTTCTGAGTCAGATCCTCCTTCGAGCCACTGGGCCTGTGTTCTCTACCACAAAGCAGTGTGGGAAGGAATTGTCTTCCAGTATTTCTTTCCATAGCATAAGTATGCTAGCACAACTTCCCTGTGACTCCTCTGTAGTAATTACAAGAAATAAAGCCACTAATGGAATAAAGACTCACCCTCCAGCACACTTATAGGGTACAGGCTATTTAAATTTCCCCTCTCAGAGAATTTGAAATCAAATACTTGTCTTGGGGACGTATAAAAAGACTTTTTTTCTTTATTTAGCAAATTTTTCCAACTTTGTTTAAACCATTCTGATACTGCATAAGGAACAAATGAAAAGATATGTAATGTTATATTACTTCTTCACTCTCAAGAAAGCTGCATTCAATAAGATCTTCGTCAACAATAAAATGTGGGCAGTTTTGAAGTGTCCTTTCTGTGATGGCTGGGCTTTGTTTGTTTCTCTCCTTAGTTTCCATAACCCACAACAATAATGACAAAAATACTTGAAAAAAGCATTCTGATGAGTTGAAGAAGACTAGACAAAGAAAACAGGATAAAACATCAATAGTGACTTGGTCACCCCTGAACAATTAGAATCCATAGAATTTTTTTTTTTGGACACAGGGCTGAACAGTGTTTTTTTTGCTTGAACAAGTACTGCTATGAGTCAGAACCAACTAAATGACATCTAACAAAGTAAAATTCATAAAAACTATGTAGCAATTTTATGTCAAGTCAAATGCAAACGTGACAAGATACTTAAGCAAAAACAATACAGATCAGCTGTAAATATCATTGTATTATAAATCCATAACATATTTGAGGACACAAAGAAATATAATTAAGTAAATTTCAAGACTGATAAGTGTTTAAGACAGAAAATTACATACCTTCTTTTACTCCTGGTTGAGTAACAGCAAGAAGAGAAATTTTATGTAGAACTAAAGTGGAGCGATAGAAATGAAGGCAACAATCTTGTAGAGGAAAGATTCACAATTAAACAAGTTTAATGGTAACTTGGACACACCTGCAAAAAAGTTACTGAACATGAAGACTAGTCCATAGAAAGTATATATGTGGAAATAGGAAACACAAAAGAACAAGGCAAATTAGAGTTCTAGCATTTTAGAACTGCTTATAATCAGAGGCATGAAAAGAGAGGAGAGGGTAATGGAGAAGAAAATATATTTGAATAGATAAAGATTAGTAACTTTTTCAAATTGATGAAATATATCAACTTACACTACCAAGAATCTCAATGATCTAAAAAAAAGGTAAATTAAAATAAAAAGTCCACACCTAATCACATCATAGTCAAGTAACTCCACTCCAAAGCGAATATTTAAAAGCAACAAGATAAGAGACACATGACATAGATACACAAATTATATAGCAGATCATTAAAGTGATAGGAAGCAAGAAAAAAACCAAAGAACAAAAATTTAGAATAATAATAAACATTTACCCTGAGATTTAACATCCATAAAAATATTGTACATATATGAATGTGGGATATAAAGACTATACAAGGGGATTTCAAAAATTAGTGAAATTGTAGATTTGAAATATAATGAGAACCTTGTTCTAAAATTGAATGCAGTAATGATTGTACAACTCTTGCAGTGGTTGAACTATTTAATTGTATGATGGGTGGATCATGTGCCAATAAACGGTTTAAAAATTAAAATAATAATAATTAACAAAAGAAACATGGTGGAAATCAGACTTCCCAAAAGATGGTGGTCTAGACAGACACACTCCTCAGATCCTCCACATCAAAGGCATGAGCAGCCAAATGAAAGAAAGAACGATGAGAATACTAGATTCAGATGAGATTCCGATGAACAAAAGCAGTGA